ATATATATATATATATATATATATATAATCAAAATATGACTTTTCTTAATGCATAGCCTTGTGCATAAGGACAAATCAAGGGTTCGACAACTATATGCTAATTCCAAACCTCCTGTAGAGATCACACTTAAATTTTTGCAGCATAGTCGAGTCGAGACTATAATGATTGCGGAAATTACCTCCAGTTTCTTGAGACTCGGTGTTGTCGCCCGTGGGTTGACTGACAGACATCACCTGGATTTTTGATCGGACGGCTTCGGTCAAATCTGCATCAGAAACGCCTGCGGCCGCCAATCCCAACTCAAGTTTTTGCTTCAAGGCCAGTTCCTTTTGCATTTTGGCCACCAATTGGTTAGTTTCCTTGAGCTTTTTCTTATCTTTCTTGGGCACTTCCTTTTTCATTCTCTCTGCGGTGGCGAGTAGCTCTCGCTTCTCTAGCTTGTGCCGTACCTCCATAGTGTCTTATCACAGGTTTGATAGGTATGCATACGTATACCACTGTGCATGTCTGACAACAATGTGCTGTTGTATTTATGTGAGAAGTTTTTAATGATTACAAGAGGTGTCAGGACGACTGGACGAATTGCAACCATAGCCGCCTAAAAACAATTTAGGGTTTTAGGGTTTTTAGTATAAATTCACTTATAATCAGCCCGCCAAAACCTCCCAATGGCTGATGGACTACTGGGCCTGGTCATGGAGCGAGCCGGGGGGTTTATATATATATGTATATATATTTTTAAAACATTAAACAACCCTTCTAGTGGAGGACAGAATTGAACCCCAAAAACACCAACCAGAGACCAAACCCCATAAATAGCTTATGTATTGTACTTTGCCGGTTCGTTTCAGACGATGAGTGTCTGAAATCAAATACTTTTCGTCCGAAGCACATGCTCAGCACTTAACCGGTGTGACCACGCCCCGGAAGTTTCGGTATCTACTTCCACAGGATGCAAACCATCCCTCTCCTGTACATTGAGAAGAAAAAACATTGTACATAAATAATTAGTTTTGCAAATGTGTGCAAAACAAACAATGAATACATACAATAAGATACTTAGGCATAGGCACATACTCTTGTGAGGAGGCGTTTCTTCCGATTTCTTGCCATCTGTGCATGAGCCTTGCGTAGACACTGGGGTGGAAGGTAAGATGTTCTCCGGTTCCACATTGGATCAAAGCTTTTTGTCCTGGGCGGGGTGAGAAGCCGTCTGCACACTGGTTCGTATAGACAACGACACGTAACGCTTGTTAATCGAGGTTTCTTGGTAGAGCGCCTTCAATTTGGAGAAAAAATCTATCAATTTGGGGTCAAGGAAATTATTTGGCGAGAGCTTGTACACCTCAGCCTCGGATTCCTTCCTCTGCCAGGTTTTGTGTCACCAACTTCGGTGTCTCTCTCTCAAACCTGTGATAGCAGTAAAAGTCATTAGTTCTGATGCAGACGAATGTGCTGGTGATTTCCGTGGCGTTGTGTTCCCAAAGTGCTTCGCATATGTTCATTGGCACATCAGACACAGGCGCGTCGCAATACTGCTCTGAGTTCGTCTCAACCGCCACGTTCTCACTCTTGGGGCTCTGATTGGGTCTAGGGTGGATTTTCTGCATGCGCAAGTGAATCCTTGGACTGCGCATTTCGTTAGGCTTGCGTTTGCGGCTGTTATTGACCTTGTGGTTGGGCATGTTTATGAAAGTACAGCTATGCGTCTGTTTGATATTGCTTGTGTATTTGTGTGATAAATTGTGATCATGTCACCGGACACAGCGGTTGTTGTGGTTGTGTACTGCTAAATAAATATGTATGTCGAAGTGCTTCAAATTCTGGTATTTGTTTTTAAAATTTAATAATACGATTTAAATATAATGGAGAGGCTATGCGATAGTAATTATGCTTGAGATTGTGACTGTGTTAAGCTGTGTTTGAGGTGTAATAGCCGGGCTTCCACATTAGACTCTATGTTATAAACATACTTTTAAGCAGTACGTAAACTATAAACGTACTTTAAATAGTACGAGGAACAAGTTTCCTAAATGGTTTCTAACGGTATTTATTTATTAATACCTTTTCCATTTTACATATCAGATATTTGGACAAGGCCATTAAAAGGCCCTAGTAAAATACCAAACATAAGATTCGGTCTAGTTCTATTAATAGAACTATATTTACTTTCCAAATTTATTTATATCTGAATACTTCGGAAGTGAGATGGCTCAACCGAACATAGGTTTCTAGGAGACCATGTAGCCCTCCGCCATCGCTGTGACGACATCAGGAAGAACTCAACAAAACGTTGGTCCAACAAGGAGATCGCGGCAATGGTCCGGCGCCAATACTACTACCAACTGGTTATGGGTAAACCGCCAACCTCAAACCGAGACACAACCCGACACGGCAGCTTCAATCGCTGCTTCGAGTCTACACCAATCCGGCTCTGTGCTATGATTGTAACGAATACGTACATGTTCACATTGCTCGACTATCGCACCAACGGCTGTCGCTGCCCTGTCTGCCCCGGTAGCCACAAGTTCACTACCAACCACTTTACCTGCATCCAACAACTGATTCGACGCATCCTGGTAGGCCCGAAACTGCCGCCCATTGGCCCTGACCTCCTTCAGCAATTACAGGAGTGCCACGACTTCCACGGTATCTGGACCCTCCACGAACACCTTGGATCTTTTCTCCAGCATGTTGAAGAACCACCGTACCCTCACCCGTCCCTGACACATCAACAGATGTTCCATACCCCGGCTAATCACGCTGTTGAAGTACTACTTCCAAATATCGGTTCAACCCAAATCATCGCGCTTGTCGGTTCCGACTATGATACTTCCGATCCAGGCCAGCCAACACATACCGAATTCATCCGTGGTCTGGTGCGGCATTGGCTTACCCCCATCCTCGCTTCTCGACCGGATTATGACGGATAACCTGGTCCTTCTCGGTATTTCGTACTCTGCACTAACCCATTCCGCGGCACTACACGGCGCAGACCCGATCCGTACCACAGAGGTGAGTACTCTACTTAGTAGGTCAGCAAGCGAATGTATGGAACATTCGTTAGTAACAGTTTTTTGTCAACACCGGCCCGAATTGACTCAGCATATATCTTCCATTGTCGACTCACTTGGCCCAAGCTTCAAACGGTAATTTACTGACCACTTCTTCCCATCAATCTTTCCTGAACCACTACAGCGACTATGAGAGCCATATGTAAACTTCGATGGAAATTACTAGGTTTCAAACTATATTAAACTAAAATACAATTTAGTCAGTTAGGATTTATGTAAACTTCGATGGAAATTACTAGATTTCAAACTATATTAA